AAAAGTTAGACAAGTTGCTCTCTCTCACTCAGTTCCACTCTCTGTCTCTCTGTAAATGTAGCCTACCTTTTCATCCCTCAGACTTATTATGAGGGAGCTATGTAACTGGCCTCTAGTTCGATATTCAGCTCACAGCCATAATAGGACCAATTTTTTGCATAACTTAGAGTAATGCATATATTAATTGAGCTTGTCTTTACCAAACCATTTTACCTGCTGATGGTACTCTCTGTAGGGTGTGTGTGTGTGTGTGTGTGTGTGTGTGTGTGTGTGTGTGTATGTGTGTGTTCACCCTCAAACTGGGGCAGAGTGTGTGTAGTCTATGTACTTACTCATGGTTCCAGAGAGATTTGGGCTTTAGCCATGTGTCCAGTCTTATGCTATTGATAACCTCTACTTGTAACAACAAAAAAGAAGATAATTTGCATTTGACACTGGGTGAGTCCTATGTCCTCATGCTTAAGTACAGTCTCATGACTGATATGGCAAAACCTCAATTAAGATGTTTCAGGAAATAGGGTTTTCTGGTGTCTTTGGTGCTAAGCAGAAAACCCCTTACATTGACATGGAAGCCACGATTGGTTTCAAACCTCATTGGTGAAAAACCCCCTCTAGAATACTTGTACATTTTCTTGCTTCAAGATACTAAGAACGAAAAATCTTTTAAAAGGGATTTTGTGCCTTGTTTAGACTCTTGGGGTCATGGATATCAGTTTGTATCATACTGGGCTCTAGGGGTAGAAGATAAAGGATAATGGACCAAAATCTGTATTATGTTCGGGTCACACTCTCCAAAGAGAAGAATGAGTTAACTAAGGAATCCGATTGATTGGATTTCCTCTGGTTGAGGTTTTCCTACTCCTGAGGTATAATGTTGAAGTGGCTTCCAGGTTTAAATTGGGCATAATCCACATGCCAGGCATTTGCAGAGGTGAGCCCTAATTCCGGTGCTCATTGCCATCATGGTTGCATGGGGACTTTGGGCTCATTCTGTAACACTCTTAAATTCTGCCTAATGGTTTCTAATTAATTTTGTGGATGAAGCTCTTGCAGTGGATTCATTGAAGACAAGTTCAGTTAAAGACTCTCCCTCTTCCTTCTTTTGCCATCATTTGCTCCCCTTCCCTCTCTCTTGTTTTTCTCTCCCCTTCTCTTCTCTCATTCACTGTCAGGAAAGACTACCTTTGAAGGGACAATTCTGTACCGAGCTGCACCGGGAAAGACGGAGGGCCACAGACGCTATTACAGTGAGTGACCTTGACAGCAGGAGGCAATTGTAAAGATAAGATCTGGGTTCTTGTGTTTTTTGATGCAGCTGCACTTTCCTGAGCTGCTCATGCTTCTGCCAAGTGTCTGTGTGAATTTCTGATCCAAGGACATGGACTTATTTGCCTGAGATAAGTGCCGTCTCCTTGGTGTGTGCTGCGGGAGCATTCCCATCACCAGCCCCTGGCGCTGTCTTGTTTGCTTTGTGCCTCTGTCATGTGTGTGACATGCGTGCATGAACCATGCGTGCAGAGAAAGGATCAGTAACGTTGGTCATGGCATATGTGTTTGTACCAGTATCTCTGCGCCTCTGGGGTGGTGTAAGATGGCTTCCTGTGGAGATGTCAACCTCTCGTGGTTATTGCTTTTACTGAGTGGCTCATTGGAAACCAATAAGTCATTTCCTCATTGCGGGGTTCAAAGAAGTAAGATTTTGGTAAGAAAAGTCCGTGCCAGAAATGGTATTTTGCTTTGCGCATTCAGCCAATCACCACACGGCAGACTTCTTTTGGCAGGACCAGTGTGTAGCCTTTTGTGCTGTGAAAGAAAGCTGCCAAAAGTTGAGGGGAAGGAGATGAATGAGGTTAATGAATGAATCTCGTGAAGTTCGTAGAACAGTCCTGCCACACAGTAAGCACTACACGTGTGAGTGTAAACTTGAAAATAAACAAAAATGGCTCACGGGCTGGAATATTAAGGAAATTATTGGCAATGACTTCTGTGTAATTTGGCCACAGTTATATGAGTGGCCAAGGCAGAGTTGAGGAAGCTTTGTTCTTTTTTTTCACTGCGAAGGAAAAGCATCCACCTTAGTGTGCACGTACACGCAAGTGTACATAGAGACGTACACACAGTGATGAAGGAGAAGGTTCACGCGTGAACACCGGAGCCACGCTTCTCAAACTGTCTGCAGTGAAGTGTATTTTTATTTCCGTTCCCCTGCGGACAGACATCGGGTACTGCTGGCTTGCCTTCACTGCGCATGCGCTGCACCACCCGCCCCTCCCAGCAGGAGCAGACAGACAGATGTTGGTCTGTGCCCTGTTCACCCAGACGCGTCTGTTGGCCGCACATCCGGAAGTAGCATCAGCGCACACTGCTATAAGCATTTCCAGGCACGGACACTTTCTGTGCTTGTCTCTCTGTGTACCGGCAACGAACCCTTCATGATCTTGGCTCCAGTCCACAGACCTCACTTTGGGTTGCACTGCCCTCGAGTGTCACCTGGCATTCCGAGCATGACACAGGGATAGTTTACATAATAGTGTGTGTTATGAGCACCAGTGGCTAAAAGATACAGCACCAAAACTGAAAAGCCACCTTTCTTTGCCTCTGAAGGGAAGGAACTAGATTTTGAGTTATTTCGTCAACCCAGGTATTCAGACATTTAATTTCATAGTACTTAAAAGTGATAGAAGCAGCCTACCAGACTATCCGGAAGAAAAATCTGCCATGTGTTTCCTTCCCAACCCATGCTTGTGTGGTTGAATGGCCGTGCAGCCTTTCCCTGTGTAACGTAAAGAGTATTTCTCACAGAGACTAATATGATGTTATTAAGATGAGCCCGGAAGGTGGCACATCCCTAAAACCAGAAGCTCAGTGAAATCAGGATGGCAGTGGTTGAAAATATTGTGTTTCTAGCTATTGAGGTATATGATAAAAGAATCCTTCAAATTCTTCTCTTTGAAGAACTGAAACAGACTTTGCCCAAATCCATTTGCCCAAATCCACTTGCCCTGCTGCCTTCTGCTTGTGGTGCTGGTGGTGGCGGCGGCGGGGAAGGGGAGCAGTGATGTTTTCTGTTCACTAACCATTTCTTTATTCCGCCCTCAAATGCTTCTTTCCAAACCAGAAAAGAATATACAAGCCATTTATCACACAGAAAGAATCCATACGGCAAAATGAGAACATGTTAAAGGGGAAATGACACAATATTTAGACTCCCAAATTATATCTCCAGCAGGGGTATTTCCAAAAACAATGAACAGATAAACACACGAATGGATAGCTAATCCAGGGGGGTTCTCCATGTTTGCACACTCGCATCCAGTCCTGTAAATTGGAGCCGACCCCCTTGTTGTGGGCTGTTCCTCATTGTTCTGCCCTCTGTTCTTGCTCATAAATGCTGTTCTTTAGTTCATTAAAATGTACACCAGAGCTCTTCCTCCCCACCCCCTCCTTTTTGGCTTACAAATACCATTTTATTGAAAACAGCAGCAACGACAAACACAGCCATTGTTTAAAGGATTTGATTTTGAAACTTGTTAGCAATTTATAATGACCTTTCTATATTTTTCTGTTTTCATTTAACAGTTTCTTCCTGCACTGAGACTTCTTTATTTGAATGACTTCAACATTTTGTGACGTTTTATGTGAGCAATTATTTGATGTATCATTCTTATGTACTAAGAGGCCACCTTACATGTAGGAAGATAATGCACAGTGTGGCTAATAGAGAACAAAATTTGATGGTATACTTTCATCCCAAGGAAATCATTGTCATCAGGAGACATATAGTCAATGTTCAGGAGCTATTCTACACATCTAGAGGCTTTTAGAGACAGGCTTAATGGCACTTTCCATAAGATATCCTTTTAATCCTGCCCTTTGATGGCATGACTAATGTACTGACCATCAAAGTAAGAATGTACACCCAGAAATTAACTAGAAACAGGCTCTTCCTTTTAGGAACATGATTGTGGGCAGACCCTGGGCAAAAAAAGAATCTGGGGAGGTAAGTGTCCATGTTGTCTTGCTGATATCTATTTGATGACTTCCAACTCATGCCACCAGAGGTCAAAGGAAAGGTGTCATGTCCCCAGTGTTCTTCTTTGGAAAGGAGTTCAGCTCTGGGGAGACGTTGGTGTCAGAGGAGGGAGGAAGAGCTGTAGGCTTGGGGGATTCTGGCCTCCTGGAGGGCAGCTTCCTTTCCCTCTTTAACAAATATAATCATCTTGCCAGTGAAAGTGTTTCAGTGTCAAGTTTGGTTTAATGCTTTCCTCGAGAAACATGTCTGCGTGCATTTATTCCTTGTGAAGCCATCCAAAGAGATTTAATTCTTTGGCAGTCATAATTTTGTGTGGTTTCTTTAATTGCTAATTTGTTTAACTGGCTTTTAGCTTTACAGTTTCCCTTTAGGAAATGTTACTTTCATTGCTAATTGCTAACTGACATGAGTCATAGAAATGGGAGGTACAGTGTGTGGTGCTGACTAGGTGGGGAGGCGAGGAGGGGCTGGGAAGAGTTGTTATTGCACAGACTGCAGCAAAACAAATTTGGCTGAGAACCAGGCTCTGGCTGAAAAGAGGTGAAATGTCACATTTACGAAGAGGTCTGCTTTGAAATTAGATTTTCTGAAAAGTTTTGATTCACTTCTTAAAATTAAAAGCTGGGCACAGAGGGTGGGAGGGAGACGCAAGAGGGAGGGGATATGGGGATATATGTATATGTACAGCTGATTCACTTTGTTGTACAGCAGAAACTAACACACCATTGTAAAGCAATTATACTCCAATAAAGATGGTAAAAAAAAAAAAAAAAGCCAGGGGTGGGGAGATGGAACAAAACTCAGAGCCGCCCCCATGCAACATATTCACACGCTAAATGAAAAACCGCAGTGCAAGTTATCCCATACCCAGTGACACTTGTAGCAGTGGTTCCTGGCTGGCTATGAAGTGCTTCACGGCTATGGCTAATTTCTGAGCTCTTTCTTTCCCCGTCCCCGCTCTTGACAGGTTTAAGGGAAACCACAGGCTCCGAGAGTGATGGGGGTGACTCGAGCAGTACCAAATCCGAGGGTGCCAACGGGACAGTCGCAACGGCCGCAATCCAGCCGAAGAAAGTTAAGGGAGTGGGCTTTGGAGATATTTTCAAAGACAAGCCAATAAAGCTAAGACCAAGGTCGATTGAAGTAGAAAATGACTTTCTGCCTGTGGAAAAGGTATGTTCGACAGTTTGTGTTTTATTTCAACCTAATGTGGTGTATCCAAAAGTACTTTGTAGGGCTTGGCGTCTACGACTTCCTGTGCCTCTTCTGAGGTTTCATTGTCCTCGTGTGCAGCTCTCCTTCTATATAGGAACAGCTTTCCTCGAAAGGCTCATGCTCTAGTTTGCTGTTGCTTTTCTTACTGATCTCTCGATGGAACATTTCTCAGGATGACTTTTCAAATAGACCGGCCCTTCTGTATTTCCTCCTCAGAAAAGCCACTCATGCCTGGACCCAGCTAAACACATAACCTTGGTACTTTTCAATCTCTCTTCTGTCCTGGTAGGTTTCTCTTGTGATTTGTGCTTGGGCGTGTTGACTGGTTCTGCAGTAGAGAGAGGGGTTGTATATTTTTTCCTCAAGGTATTTGGTGGAAATGATTTCATACTACTGAAAGGAAGTCTCCTGCGTGTGTGTGTGACAGAGATGGCCCTCGCTGTGAATCCCTGAGTTGTTACCATCAGGAAGCTGGCTGTTTTCTCCTGCCCCTGGTTCTGGGTTGGCGAGAGGCAGACAGCGTGTTGCTGCTGAGTACGTGGTTGCCAGAGCAACACACCCAGAGCCATTGTGCTTGTGGCTGTCAGTGACGTCTACTGTGGTACACTTTTAAGCATCATAGCCTTGCTTAGGATTTGATAAATACTGTGGAGTTTTCCAGATTGTAATAAGCTACACTCGTGCTGTGCTTAAAGAATGTTTGTTAATTTGATTTAGTGCTGAAATTTTTGCTTTGACGTTTGTGCCAGCAGGCTTGGGGGATGGGGGCATGGGCAAAATCTCTACTGCAGGTTTATCGACGGCTTTTAAATGTTTTTCATTTCTCTGTCAGATGAATTTTTAAAAGTTGCATCATCTTCTGCAGCTGTAGAACTTCCACCCACCTCCCTCCCGCCCTCCACCAGCAACCTTGCCCAGTGTCATCATGCATTAGAAACAGATGGGGAAAGGAAACTTTTTGGACACTTAATACCCTTAGAGACGAATAAGGTAGAAAGGGCAGATACTTAAAAAGGAAGGACTGTTTCACTTAAACTCTTCTTTTGTGGAAGCTTCTCTAGTCGATTTGCTATTTCTCAAGATCTGAAAACTATCTAGTTAGTGTCCCAGCTTGTGAGTTCATTTCTGCTTCACATGGTCACTTTCAGATTCCCATAAATGTTTACAGAAGAGCAGGTTCCCATCTTGGAAAGGAGCGATGAATACAGTTTTTCTTCATTTTATTCAAGTGGTTGAAATGAACATGACCATTGACTCAGTCAGCAAACAGTTAATTCCTTTTGTTCGTTTTATGATTCTCAGTCTTATTCTTCTCTGTGTAAAAGGACATTGTGTGCGCATAACTTTCATTATTGCTATTAATATTTGTCTTAACCGCTAATAATAAATTGGGTTGTTACTAATAGCAGTATCAGCGACAAATATAATACTCCCAAGTTTGTACCTCAGCACACTTCTCCTCTGAGCTCCACAGCCACGTGTCCAACTGCCGTCTGGAACATCTCCACTCGGAGGTCCTAAATTCTTAGCAGCTTGTCCAGACCTGAACTCATCCTCGTCCCCCTGAAACCACTCCGCCCACAGCCTTCCCCATCTCAGGTGGAGGCAGTGCCACTCCCGCTCCCATGACTCAGAAGAAAAGCCCTGGGGTTGTCCCTGACTCTCCTCTTTCTCTTACATCCCATGGCTGATCCATCAGGCAACCCCATCAGCGCGGCCTCCTAAGTGTGCCCGGCACCTGCCACGGCTCATCACCTCTGCTCTCCACCTGCTCTCGCCATCGCTGCGGTGACCTCCTAATTGGTCTTCTTGCTTCTCCCCTTCCTCCTACGGTCTAGTGTCAATACCAAAGCCAGGAGGGTGATCCTTTGAAACCCGAAGTCAGGTCGTGCCACTCCTCCGCTCGCACACCTGTAGAGGCTTCCCTGTGAACCAAAGTGAAAATCCTCCCTGAGGCCCAGGAGCTGGGATGACCTGACTCCCATTGCCGCTTGGACCTCCTCCCTCCCTGCTCTCTCCCTGCTTGCTCCATCCTGGCCCCCTCGCTCCTCCTCAAACATGCCACGCACGCTCCCACTTGGGGGCCTTTGCCACGGTGGTGTCCTCTGCCTGGACACTCTGTTTCCACCTGCCCGCCGTGGCTGCCTGCCTCTCCTCCCTGACGCCTGCTCATTCTGAAACCTGCCCCCTTGGCCCATCCTGCTTACTTGCACTGCATTTTTTGTTTTCCCTAGCATGTGCCTCCTTCTAACATGTTTGTTTTTTATTATGTTTATTCTTTGTTTTGTTCACTGATATATGCTATGTGCTTAGAACAGTGTGTGGCATATAGTAGGTGCTCAGTTAAGTGCTAGTTAAAGGAATAATATTCAAACTATATTAATATAGCACTTTAGGGATTACAGACATCTATAAAATGAGGGAACGGGGTGGGATAACAGTTGTATAGTTGGAAATATAGTAGTTGTATGGTTCACTGCACCTCTGTGAAACAGAAGATTTATTGCATTGGTCTTAGAGACAAGAAATGTTAACTTCATCAGAGTAATATATATATGTACGGCGTGTGTATGCATCTTGATTCATGATGTGTTTGCAGAATGAAACCATGTGCTGGCAGCTCCCTTAACCTGCTTCTCATTGTGAAGCCTCTGGGGAAAACTTAAACTTCCCAGCCTGCTTTACTGGCTGCGGACAATTTTTATAGCATCTAAGAGGATTCAAAACTCTCTCCACCCCCTGTTGTTGGCGCCATGGATAGTTACATAGATTTATGGATCCATTATGTTATTACACAACCTGGCATGGGAGCTGATGAGTGTGATAATGTTTTACTTGTGTGCGACCTGGTTCTCATCGCTTTTGAGATGGTTTTGTGTCGAAGATTTATGTTTAAGGAAGGAAGTTTCCTATGAGAGTTGAGCTCGCTGTTTCGACTTTGCAGAAGCACAAACTGGATCTCATGTGGTGGCATCTGTGTTAGGTGAAGCCCAAGCAGGTCTTCCACTCAGGCTGGGGCAGTTGACCTGTTGATATGACTGGTTTGATAACTCGCATGAGGGGAAAAAAGGTCTATGATAATTATTAACAGCTGCAAGCATCCTAGTATACTTTCCGTTCAAGTTTGCGAAGTTTTGAGATCCACTTTTTTGAGTCAGCTGAAAATTTTGTGCTTATTTTACCTGTGCTTTAATCCATATCACCCTACCCAGAGTGGTTGAATGCTGATGATTATACACCAGGAGAGATACTGGTGTATCTGTAACACTCCCCCGACCAACAAGGAAATAATTAGTATTCTTGCTTCTCTTACTGAGCTATAAGGAAGGACCCCATTTATGAGTCTTTTTAATACTACCAACCTGATATGCCTGTGAATGATGTGTTTAATGTACCATTTAACTGAAATATTTATAGGTGAAATGATTTAATGTCTGGGATTTTGCTTCCAGTAATTTGGAAGATGGAAGAGTGGGTGGGGCACAGAGGAAACCAGATTGGTCATGAGTTGATAACTGTTGAAACTATGTGGTGCATACATGGGGGTTCAGTACACTGTACTCTATTTTTGTATATGTTGGAAATTTCCCTGGGTAAAGGTTAAAGAAAAAAAGAAAAGAACCTTGGAGAAAAATGTACCATTTAAACTAAGCCCAGAGGTACGTATGTGTTATATCAAAACAGTGGAAAATACGTTGTGGCTAAAGATGAACCAAGTTAAATATCATAAGATTTTAGAAGGGCATGGTACCATTGTCCTAGCTGATTGACCTTGACAAAGTCACTTAGCCTCAATTGAACCATCTGTAAAATGGGAATACTCTTTGTGCCTATCTTACCTCATAGGACTTTTTAAAAATGCTACATAGCTGAAAATACTTGGAAATTGTAAATGTAACTCATTTCAGCTAGTATTTGTTCAGTACTCACTGTATGCTCGTCACTGAGGATACAGTGGTAAACAAGACCAGGTCACTGCCCCTCAGGGAGCTGCAGAAAAGTAAACAAGCAATAATAATACAGTGTGGGGAATGCCGTGGCCAGGCTGAGAACATAGTACTGTGCCGTAGGAGCCCTTGGGCATGGCAGGAAGTAACGAGTTGTTAGGGAGGCTGGAGAGTGTGTATTCGTGTGTGTGTACCTACTTCCTACAGGAAGTGGTGTTTAGACCTGTAGGAAGTGATGTTTTTAGACCTACAGGAAGTGATGTTGAGGCTGAGAACCATGGGTCCAGTACACATTCACCAAGCAAAGGAGCATAGAGTTGTCAAGGTGGGAAGAGCAACATGTTTAAATGCCTCGAAGGGAAAAGGAAATAGCACAGAGCCTGTGTCAGGGCTCCAGCAGGAAGTGGGGAAAGATGAGAATGGAGAAGAAAGCAGGGCCCACATCAGGAAGGGCCTGGTGAGACTTGTTAAGGAGTTTGGACTTGACTTTGAGGGCAATGGGGAGCCCTCAATGGGGAGCAATTCTCAGCACGAGAGTGACATGATCACATAGGTGGTTTAGAGAAAGTATTCCAAGCTGCAGTGGGAGGAGTGGATTACAGAAGACAGGATAACTAGAATTCAGGGGAGAAGTTGGCAGAAACTTGTATTGGCTCTACCAGTAAATCCCCCTCCTCAATGTAGATTCTAAACCAGCTAATGAGTCAGTGGATGGAGAATCAAAATATTATTTTTGTTCACTTTTTCAGTATGGATATCCAGTTGACTCAGCCCTGTTTATCAAAAGGATCATCCTTTCTGCAGGTCACCTGTTTATCAGAAAGGTCACCTTTGTCACATAATTTAAGTGGCTGTGTATGTGTGGGTCCGTTTCCAGACTCTCTGTTCTGTTGGTTTGTTTGTCCCTGTGGTCATTCTGTACTACCTTAATTACTGTAGCTTTGTAGTCGGTCTTGACATCTGGCAGTGTAAGTCCACAGTCTTTATTCCTCTTCTTCAAGATTTCCTGCG